TTAATCTTATGAATGTTTATCTGACATAGTCTATTGAGGCTAATTTTCATTATTGATTTGTCCAACATTTTGCTTTTCCTTCAAAATGTATTAAATTCTACTTATTTCTCTGGTATTACAAATACTTCACAGTATACTCTAGGGCACTGGTTAGGTTCTGGAAAGATATAACTAAACTTGAATTCATTGTTTGAAATATTTTATCAGGGGATTTAAAAAGTACATTAATTTTTTAGGGCCTCCCCTGGTGGCGCAGCGGTTGAGTGCTGGGCTATGAAGCTGCCCACAGCCTTTGCAGCGCTGGTTCAATCCCCGGCCACTGGGGAGGGTCCCACATGATGCACAGACCTCTCCTGTTGTGCCCACTGCTCCCCTCAGCAGTGTATTTTGTCACTCTGCCTGTTCTGTTCCCCACTCTGGCTCTGGTGAATCCTCTCACCCTCCTGCGCTTCTGACTGTACCCAGTGCTTGTATAAATAAATAAATAAATCTTTAAAAAAAAAAAAAAAGACTCAATTAGAGTCACCTCCTCTGTGGGGGAAAAAAAAAAAGTACATTAATTTTTTAAAAGATCTGATTTGTCTTTCACTCATTTCTTGTATATCATGTTCTAATAACAATAGTTTCCAAAAATAATTCTAAAACTTACTCTAAAATCTAAACATAAATTCATTAAGCACACATATTTTCATTTCTACATGTCCTTTGATATTCTTTTTGAGTAGATTTCTGTGAAAGAATAATCATAAAAGCACATTTACTTTCATTTAGTAATTTAGGAATTTATATTTTTCTAGTACCACACAGAAAAATCTTGCATTTTTGCAAGTTGTGTGACTCAGTGTAACACTTGCTAGTTGCTATAACAAACAAATAAAAATCTTGATTGCTTAATTTAACAGATGTTTAATTCTTACTTGCAAAATTTAATACAGGTGTTCCTGGCTGAACTACTTTTCTGGGTAGTTTCATCCAAGAAAAGGATCCCAGGGTCTAGGTTCTCGCCATTATTGATCCTCCTATCTTGGAGTACAGTAAGTGGGATCATGGAAGATTATGTTTTCATGGCCAGGCTATAATATCTTCCTTCTAATTTGATTAACCAGAGCCTGTTATATGGCTCAAACTTAACTGCAAGAGAAGCTGAAGAATTTAAGCTTCCTTCATGCTCAGGAAGAGTAACCAGAGACTGTTGAACCTCTAGTCAATCTCTGTCATACAGATATACCAATCTACACATGGTAGAGGATGTAAATAATGGCAACAAGAACAAAAATCCTCAGCTGTAATTCTTCTCATACTAAAATTGTCCTTATTATATCTTGGTTCAAAGAAGCATAGTTTAAAATGTATTATTTTTATTGTTTGTGCACAACTTTATAAATAAATGATTTTGTCAAATTACTTCTAAGACACATTTTACTCAGTGAAAAATGTTCCTAAAAAATGACCCCTAGAAAATATTTAACACTTAATCAAGATGCAGTATCTGAAATAGTCTAGAAAAATCATATTGCTCAATACAATTTAGGGTTGAGTAATTATTCACTTTACTATATTTATGTAGTTGTATTACATATTGGGTAAAACTTTCATGTACATATTAATGGATCACAATATTGACTACATTCTGATTTCTTTTTCATGGATAATTTTGTAAGGTGTCAGGATTTTGTAGGGGATTAGTTTTTTCAAATAATATAAATAACCAAAAGTTAAAAATACTTTACTATGAAACCTGCTTGGAATTATCAGACGCTTAAGACTAAATTAGATCCAAAAATTGTATTTTGTAACATTTAAGCAAATTTTGCTTTGTAAATACCAAGACATCAAGGAATCCACTATAATTCTAAGTTTATGAAATTACATTTGTGTATAATACATCTGGATTCTGTGAAAATATTAAAGCATAGATAAGATTTACAGAGAAAGTAGATCTCAAATTTTATGTGAACTTATTTGTTTAATAAATACAAGACTTCATCAATCTTTGGGATGTTTTGAATTTCATATTTGATTACTATTACATTGTTAAACCACCAAGACACTTGTCATCATCTATTGGCCAAAATTCTTTTATAAGAAATTACAATTTTGAGGTATACAGAGAAGTTTCTAAGAGAAGATAATACATATCCTATAACTCTTTTTGGGCTGTATCCAAATTCCTTGCTCAGAATAAATTCATAGTAAAGACATTATATAAATGCAAGATTAAAGAATCAAAGCCTATAGAAAGTTAAGGACTAAAATTGAACTAATTGTTATCAAAATGTTTCATGTCTGAGGAAAGAAAAGATACATCTGCATCATGAACTCCACTGGTGATAATCCCTTAAAATGAAAAATCTGTCTGGCTGCATCTCAAATATGTCACTTGTAGTCACAGTTGACTATTTTAATATCAGCTATGTGATTGATGATTTCACCTATATCCATAGAGCAATTTTATAATTCCTGGAGAGTAGAAGTATTAGGTCATTCATTATCTTCAGAAAAGTCTAGTTTCCAATAACACTTGTTATTTCTCGAGAGAAAATACCTGTCTATATTTTAAAAAATTAACTAAAAATGTAAAGTCTGCCCTTATTAAAATAATACATCCAATTAGATCTATATCAGACACTTGATAAAGTTATATATATATATATATAAAGTATATATATTATATATGTATGTATGTGTATGTATGTATGTGTATATATGTAATTCTCATTGAGGTAGTGTTGGTTTACAACACTGTATATGTTTTAGGGGTTTACGATCTCATCTCATCAAATGGGTTAACACACCAAAGCATCAATAATCCTCCACCACAGTCCAGTGGGTCCCCTTCCTTCTTTGCTTCCCATGCTTTTTCCCACCTTGCTTTTTTGGTAGCTTCAGTTTCACAGTTGAACTTCAGGGTTTTGTTTTTGTTTTGTGTTTCTTTTGCTTTGATTCTATATTTTTATAAATGCATAAAATGATCCAGTATTTTTTTACCTCCTTCTGATTTACTTTACTTAACATTGTCCCTTCCTGTTCCATCCAGGCTGTTTTAAATGAGTGTATTCTACTGTATATATACACCACATATTTTTTAATCCACTCATCTCTCATTGGGCACTTACTTATATAACTTGGCTATTGAAAATAATATTGTAATGAACATAGGAGTATATATCCCTTCTAGATATGTGTTTTTTCGTTCATCAGATAGTTACCTAAAAGTGGAATGGCTGGGTCATAGGGTAGACACATTTTAATTTTTTGTAAACCCCCTTAGTTTTTCATAGGGGTTGGAGGGATCTACATTACATATTTGCTAACACTTGTTTCTAATTCTAGTCTTTTTCATTGAGCCATTCTCACAAGCATGAGGAGGCTTCGATTAACATTTCCCTGATAATAAGAAGTCATGAGCATTTTTTAAAAGTATATGTTAGCTATATAGATTTTTTTTTTAGAGAAGTGTCTATTTAGTTTGTCCCTTTTTTTATTGGGTTATTAGTTTTCTTGTTGAAATTGTATGAGTCCTTTGTAGATCTTGGGGTTCAGCCTCTTGTTGGAATTTGATATGCAAATATTTTCTCAATTCAGTAGGATTTTTTTGTTTTAATGATAGTTTCTTTTGCTATGCAGAAGATTTGCTGTTTGATGTATCCTATTTATTTATTTGTGTCTTGTTTCTTTTGCCATTGGCCTCAGTCAGTGAGTATTTAGTATATTTTCATCCAAATAGTTTTATAGTTTCAGGTCATATCTAAGTCTTTGCTCCATTTTAAATTAATATTTTGTCTATAGAGTAACATAGTCATCCAGTTTCTTATTTTTTGTTTGTTGCTCAGTTTTTCAACACCATTTAGTGAAAAGACTTTCTTTTCCCCATTGTATACTCTTGGTTCCTTTTCATAAATTAACTATTCATATATGTTTAGGTTTACTTCTGGACCCTCAATTCTATTCCATTGATTTGAGTATCTATTTTATTCCAATGCCATACTTTTTGATTTCTGTAGCTTTGTAGAATAGTTTGATGTCATTCTTTTTCTGTCAACTCATGGGAAGCCCAAAGGATCTGGAAGGTGCTTCTCAGCAGCTGCCAAAGATGGCCATATTTAGACCTGGGTGCCTCATACATATTGCCAGTCCTGCAGACAGTGTTCTTCTGGAGCAAAGTATTCTCCCTTGACTATAGTAGGTAGGTGCAGTTTTGAGTCAAGGACAGTGGGCTGTGGAGAGGGTAGAGGCAGGTGTCTTTCAGGACCACTAAAACTAACTGCAAACAGTCCCAGCAACCACCTGTGTCATCAGTCTTAGAGTTTTCTCTCCAGAAGACTTATGCTCATTCCCTTGAGTACAGTAGGCTACCAGTAGCAGGAAGCCTAAGGAGACTTGAAGGAGAGGGATGTGCTTGTCAGGACCAAAAAAGCTAGTTTAAAGCAATTCCAGTCATTCCAGTATCAGAAATAGAAAGTAAGGAGAGAATGAAGATACAATAATTTGCATTTATTAGTCAAAGGAATTAGAGGAAAATCTCACATGTTCTTCCCTGAACTCTAGGAAAAGCAGAAAATATTATGGAATTCAATGTCTAAAAAAGAAACATGCCATTCCACACAAAAAAGATAATCTTGCTCTGAAAATCTAATAAAATGTTACCATGTTAAGTGAGTAAACTTAAAATCATTAATAATTGTGTTGTATAAAAGTATAGGGATAGATTATTGATATTAAGAACATCAGAGAATGAAGTATACTACTTATCTGTGGACAGATGAAGTATCATGTAACAAAGAGTTATGGCTGGATAGATAGATTTTTCAGTGTCATCAATATTTACGAAATCATAGGTTCTCATTTAGTCATGGAATCATCAAAAATCCATTTTGTGGGTACTGTAAATAGTAATTCTAAACTAAAAAAAAAAAAAAAAAAACTAATCCAGACTTACTGAAAGTGTTTGGAAATCATACTGATAATACAATTAAAATAAGAGACATTTATGTACTTACTAAATAAGTCCTTATCTTCAATGATTGCCAATTCAACCTCATTTCCAGTGACAACAGTGCATGTGAAAGGAACTTGAAGAAGAACACTAATTTCACCAAAGGACTCTTTCTCCATAAGTTTACCCATATAAACAAATTTTCGAATTTTTTTCTGTAAGAGATACAGATAAATGATGTTTAATGAAACCACTTTCATATAATGAATAAAAATCATTACAGAATTTAAAATAACTCAAACTTCATTCAAGTCATAGAAACTAGTTATTAATATATACTTAAATTATCATTGCATTTTTCAACATCCTAGGACACTATTTTGTAAATATAGTTTAATTTAGTATGTTTTGTGAATCACCATTTGTAAATTCAGCCCTAGTACAAGGCACACTCATGGGACTAACAGAAAAAACAAAACAAAACAAAAACATAGAGTGCTAAAAATCAGATAGATGGGATTAATTGCAAAAAGTGTATTAGTAACCTGACTTTCCAGTTTTAATCAAAAAGAAACATGGGAAATGAGTTTGACTCAGGGAACCAGCAACTTATATTCAAATTATAAATCTTGAAGAAAAAGGCTTGTGGATATGCATGTTTTTGGAAAATGAGTTGGAACTCCAAATTATCTATTCAGGGAAAGTCCATCAGTATTGAAGCAGGGATAAGTAGGTAAGTTATAGGATTAAAAACAAAACAAAAAACGGCCTCCCTGGTGGCACAAGGGATTAAGACACAGCACTATGAAGCTATCCATAGCCACTGCAGTAGGAGTTGGATTCCCATCCTTGAGGCCCCCTGGTGGTGCAAGGGGTTAGGACGCAAGCTTTGAAGCTGTCTGCAGCCACTGCAACAAGAGTTTGATCCCCGGCCAGGGAAATAACCCACATGGTGCAACAGATCTCTCCTGTCTTGTCCGCTGCTCTCCTCAGCAGTGTATTTCAGTCAATTTGCCTGTTCTGTGCCCCGCTCTGCCTATGATGAATCCTCTCATCCCCCAGAACTCTGGACTATGTATGCATAAATAAATAAATCTTTAAACAAAAAAAACAAAGAAGTGGTCTCCTTATTTATAGAAGGGTAACAGGAACTGGAAAAAGGTAAAAACCTTTAGTAAGTACTAAAGTTTTGAAAGTATCAAAGATACTTACAAAAACCAGTATCTACTGATGAATTGAGATTCATCAATTATATATGCAAACCATTGTACTGAATATAACTAGTGCAGCAGAATTCAATTAAGTTTATATATTAAATTGAATTCTATTGAAGATAGCCTGATCATCAAAGGATTAGTTCTAACTTTTCTATCATTATGCATTCATTAACCTTTTGCTTGTTTCAGAACTTCATAAAACTGAAATAGTGAAGTAGGTACTTTTTAGGGGGTGGGTTGATGTTTTTGCCCAACATTTTTTATCCATAATCTTGCATGTATCATTAGTTATTTCAATAAAAATGTGACTTTCACTTATCTGAACATACCCAATATTTCTATCCATCCATTTCTCAATGGACATTTAGGTTACTTCCAGTTTTTGACTTATGAGAAGTCATCCTTCTGTAGGCATATAGTTTCATTTCTCTTGAACAAATATCTATAATGAAATTACTTCGTCATGTGGTATGTGTATCTTAGACCATCTGATATGCTTATAATAGTACTTTGTTGTTAGTTTTAATTTTTCTGACTCAATAGATTTTAAAATTTATCTTTCATTACTATAATATCTAACAACTCAATAAAAAGAAGGGGGAAATGGTGGTCAAAATATTGAATGAAAATTTCAGAAGACAAATTTCCAGTAAGCTTATGGGAAGATGTTCAAATCCTTCATTAAACAAATTTATTAAAGAAAACACCTAAGTTTAAAACTTACCACTTTTGATTGTTGTTTCACAAGTCCTACAATAGTTCTGTAAACTTCACAATATCCAGAATTAATGTAAGCCACAAAAGAAATTATGTTTCCACTTTCCACTATCACTGAAAATAAGAGATAATTTTTAGTTCACATTTTCTTCTCAATAAGAAATTACTTTAGATATTATGACAATAACAGATGACAAACTTAATTCAATAATTATTAATGATAAATTTCTTAATAGATGTCAATGTATAGATAATACTTGGCATATAATAAAAACTTTACATTTATTATAATACTTATATCTATAACCCAATTTAGAAATGAACAATGAGAAGATTTATAATATAAAGGCAACGATGTATTATAGGTATTGAAGAGCAAGTAGTATATGGAAAATTCCAATTTGGAGCACTTGACTTTCATGGTATAAATATTTCCACTATGACTAATTTCTAAGTGCCAGTGATTAACTAACAAAAATCAATATTCAATAATTGTTTCTCCAGAGTCTATTTCTCAAATCAATACAAGCATTCTACTAAATATAGGTTTAAAACAGTGTTATGAGGCCACACTGGATTGGCTTAAACCCTACTCTGATAATACTTATGTGACCTTAGATAAATTACATTACTTCTCCAAGCTTCAGTTTCTCATCATTAAAGTGGCAAAATTTGGAGTCCTTATTCTATGCATATGTTAATAAACTGCAGTAAAGTTCTAAGCATCTTACCTGTGTTAGAAGTCATGTTATTAATATTGTTATAGTACTGTGTAATAAATCATGTTATTAATACATTATTATTTCTCAAGTTTGTGAAGCTACTCTAACATTAAGTTAAACTTGAAGATAAACTGGATTATTTGTAACTATTGATGAATTAAAAAGTAATTAAAATTAAAAATACCTAATTTATGTAACATTTTAGATTACCAGCATAATTTAATTGAAATAATAAAATCAACAGGAAATACTGAAATTGCTATTTCACGTCAACTTTCTGCTTTGTTCATTCTGAAATATACCAGTATGTCTCTCTGAAAGACCTACACAACAGTGATAACCTAAACATAAGATACATATGCATTTTTTCCATAGTTTTATAGACTATTGCCAAGCATCCTTTTCAGAGTAAGAGAGTATATATATCAGCATGATAAATATTACTAATGTATTAAAATGATAAATAAGCTAAAGAATAGCATTACTCTTTAGATACTATGGTTAAAAAACCAATAATTTAAATATATAATTTAACATCATATAAAATTAAATATCAACATACAATGGAAAATATTTTAAGATAAATCATTGACCTTTCAATTATTTTGCTGATATGTTTACAAACACCTGCAATCTCCTTTTCCTCATACAATACTCATATCTCTAAGTTCATAATAAAAATATTAGATCATTTTACTGTCACAATTCATTAATTTTGCTTAAAAAAGTTTACAGTAACATTTAAATTGTCTCATACTATACTCCCCATCACCAAACAATGAATTTACAAAAAATATAGTGTTCCTATATGCCAGCAAAGAACTGGAAGAAGAAAAATGTCAAGAAAACTATCCCCTTTGCAACTGCATTCCAAAGAATTAAGTAAGAATAAGCTTAAGGGAATGACTTTCTCTACTATCAGAGGACATCGAATCTGTACAATTCCTTCTGACTTGACCTGCAATGGTTCCAAGTACCAGCAATTGTCTTAACTTTGAGACTGGCAAAAGGAAGATGGAGGATTAATGGGGGAGAGTAGGGAGTAGGGAATAGAAAGAAGAAGCTCTAACACCAAATCTAACTCTTCTTCAGCTCCTTGTTTTTCAATGACTGACAAATCATATTGTGTTATTTTCTGTGAAATAATTCCATGAATATATTCTTTTGGTAAAATCTTTACTTAGAGTAGTTCCTAAGACATGTTCTAAATTTAATTATTTTTTATTCACATTTCTCTGTATTTCTTTATCAACAATTTTTAATGCATATTTTATCCAAATCACAAATTTGTGAAATTAGAGAAATGTCCATTTACTTTTAATTTTTAATGCAATGTGACATGTACTTAATATACATACTATATATACAAAAATGTCATAACATAAACATGGTACTAAAATTCTTTAGACGAATGCCCAATTCTCATGTGCCATGAATTCGGAAGACAAAGAATAATTGGAAATTAGATAATAAATGGAAATTTCTCTTAATAAGTATTTCTATTCATAATTTTCCCTATTTAACCATAAATGCCATTTAACCATATAAATCTACATTTTTAAGTAATGACAAGGTAGTGTTTAATATTAATAAAGTTTCTTTAATATGTATCCTTTTTCCTAAGTAAAACATATTCAGAAAAATTTCTCCAAGTGGAAAATAAAATTCAAGAACAGTATTCATTAATACTATTCTTTTATATTTTTCTTTTACTAGAAGTATATTTTTACAACATGAACTGATATTTATTCAACTAAAGGGAAGCTGCATAAGTCTAATACACATCAGTCAGATACACTTCTACTCCAAAGAGTGCTTGTTCTGTTAGGCTAATGGACTGGTCTTTATCTTAATTAAGAAGATGTCCTTTAACAATCTTTCTAATCACTAGTTTTCATTTAAACTAAGACCTTAACTATCCTAGTGCTGATGCTAATTGCTAGTAGGGAATTATCTGTCTTATCATGACTCCTTCTAACTGACCTGAAATTAGAATAAAATAGTTTTATTAGACTTGTGACTATTTCCTAAGCACCTTTTAAACAGCAGAAAGAAAAAAGAACAATGCTTGATATTCAGTTTCTGTGAATCCTTCTGATTTTCTTCTCTTTTGTCTTTAAGATAAAATCCAGTCTTTTCTTTTCATAATGGTCTGTGCTTTCATGTTTTAGAATATGAATCTAGGTTTTGATGAGGCACTTTAGAATCTAAGTTTTAAATACAAACAAATCAACTTTATCTCCTGAACATTAATGAATATAACCTCTAAATAATGATGATAAGATTGTTATCTATATTATTCATAACTAAATCTTTTTATTTAATTCTGTTATAATCCTTTGCAACTTTCTTGCTGTTTGTCAATTTTTATATAACCTAAGAGGAAAGGATAGAGATGGCAACATTTATCTATTAATAGATATTATTGGCATAAGTTCTTGGTAGTGGTAAGCAGAATTAGAGAGTAGAAGAGTAAAATTAGGAAACACAATGAGACATTTTCTTTTACAGATAATTGCTATGATTCTTTTTCTAATCAAGAATAGTAATATTTATAATTTCTTACTTAAGTGTCTTTTAATGTCATTAAATTTCAAACTGCTCACCTAGATGAAAGGGTTTTCCTATGTTTTCATTAAGATAAATATTTGCCATGATTTTTGTAAAGACCTAAAATTAAAGCAATCACTCACTAGGAAATCTCTCCTATTAAGGAATGGGATTGCATTGGAGAATTTGTTGCAGTTTGGCTGTTCCATTGTTGCCTTGCCTTCAACACAAAGGAAAATTCCCATGGTATCTATTTTCTTGGGTTTTTTTTTTTTTGGGGGGGTGGAGGTGGTGGTGCTTAGAATTCAGACCAATAGTGTATGAGGGTTCCTTTTTCTCCACACCCTCACTGCACTTGTTTTGTTCTCTTCAGATGCATGTTATCACATCATACCCACCACCATATTTTATATAAATTTATAGTTTCTACATGAATTATGATTTGTTGATTTTAGAAATAGAAACTGATTCTTCTCAACATAGTGAAAAAAATAAAAGTTTTAAGGAAAGGACTGACATGTAACCCAAAGTCAATTATATTTATGGTGCCACAGTCAGAATAAATCAAGTCTAATAATTGTTACACTTGAGTTTTATTCAACAAAGAAAAGCAATATTGAACAAATTTGGGTCTGGTGGAAACCCCAAAAAGGACTTCCTTCTATGCATGAGGAGTTGATCACCAAAAATTAATTTTGATGACATCGTGAATGTCTGACTAGATGCTAAACAAATACAAACATTTAAACCGAAGTATTTAAAATATGTAGGAATCATATGACTACCATCTTCCAAAAATACCTCGGATTCACTGATATCAATTTTTATGTTTTCTAGTGACAGACTGATATGTATACATTTGCATATCAAGGGTGGTTAGTTAAATATATTATATCAGTACATGTCAATGTACATATATATGTGCATGTATATATATACATATCAAGGATGGTTAATTAAATAAATCAGTGTATATATTTAATTGCAATGAGTAATCATGTATTAGGACACCACCAAGTAATTGTTAAGCCTGACATTCAGAATCAAAATTCTATTTTCAGTTGAAATGGCAAAAATACCTTATTTCACAGTGTTCTTCAAAGAACAGATAGATAATATAACTTACCCTGAAAAGATAGTATTTTATAAATAGCACAAAATTAACAGAAAAATATTTTCACATTTGTGTAGAAAAAGGAAAACTTCTCTAAGTTTCTGGATGACAATCATATAATTTAATGGCAAGTTCTAGTTAATCATGTTAATTGTCCATTTAACAATGATATCCTGATTAGTCACTTCATTCTGATACTACCTAACCATCTACATTAATTTCAGTTCAATTACTTATGCAGCATTATTTCAGAGATGGATAATCACAAACTAAATAGACTGGCCTATAGAAGTACATGGATAGTATGATACACTCATCATTGGTCTAAGTATACATGATAATTCATTATTCACTATTTGAAATAATGATTTACCTCATTAATTTCACAGTAATTAATTTTGATTCGAGAAACTTCCAACTTCTTTCTGACTAGGAAAGGAAAAGCAATCTATATACAATGTTCTGACTTTTGCTAGTGTGTGTAGGAGACTGGTTTCCATCATGCCTGCATCTAAGTACAGACAAAAATGGGGTATCATTGATAGGTCAGAGTCCACTGAAAACAAAGGAGTTCAAAAAGCACCACAGTCTGCAGTACCACAGAGACACTGGGGTAGTAGAAACTGGCAAACTTCAATAAGGAGATTACATACACAAGCCTAGAAAAGACATATCTCCAGAAAAAATTTGAAAGATCCCTAGAATATCCAGCTTAATTGACTGGAGAG